AGAGAGAGAGGGAGAGAGAGAGAGAGAGAGAGAAGAGAGAGAGAGAGAGAGAGAGAGAGAGAGGAGGGAGGGAGCGAGGAAGTAAATAAGAAAAAGGGATGAGTGATAGGGTATGGGTTTTAGGAGAGAAAGAGAGTGCACCGTTTAATGTCTTGAGACTCCAGATGCTTAGTATAGTCTACATTGGAGTGTTATGCTGGTGAACCGATCGTTTTCCTTGTCTCCTAGGAAGAGATGCGAGTGGAAGACTTTGTTGCCAAACATTTTTCCGAGATGGAAGAGGGCACTGGCCTGCGACTGCTCAATGAACTCAAAATGGGCATGGCAGTGAACCACTTCGTCGTCAAAGAGGACTCGACCGCCATCGCAAAGGCGTTACAGTAAGTCGGCTGCTTAGATCTAGTTTGGGCTGTCCGTGCTTGCATCGTGAGCAAACTATGTTTTCACATGATATCTAACACGTGGTCGGACTCAGCGCTAGTTAGAGGACACGTTCATGCATTACAACGAGCCTGTTAACTGATTCCAGAAGGGAATTCGTTCATAGAAATTCGCCCTGTGCACGGTAGGGTAGGGTGGGGTAATTTGAACATGTGGGGCAATTTGAACATAGTGTGAATAACACAAAATTACGGAAAATCCATAAGTGGCATGACAATAAGACCAATGAGAGAAATTATCGTAACTAAAAGGGCTATCATATGAACGGGGTTTAAGGTTTCAGGGGATGAAGATGTTTACGCACAGTGTAAAAAATCTATTTCGCAAGGAAAAACGCCTAACAACACGTCATTGCAACTTCATTGCAGCGCAAAATCTTGCATTGCTAGCGCCTAATACGCAACGGCTTTTGTTGTATAATGGCCTAATCAGTGCCTTCAATCCAAGAAAGTTGCTTTTGAACCCTGTTTTTTAAGATGGCAAAATAACTTTTAGCGTGGGGTAATTTGAACATAGTGTGAGAATTTCAATGAAGACAGGGATATCTCCGAAAAACAACGCTCCCAGTTTTTTTTTTTTTTGCCAATATTTTCGAACCAAAGCAGTAGCAGATAAGTGATGCCAGTTTTAGAAAATTTACGTCTAATATCCGTCTAATGTCCGGCATTTTCGTTGATTTTCCGTCCAAAAATGTTAAAGTCAACTATATGTCCAAATATGTCCGAATATTATGCAGCTATCAACACTCAAAACCGTCATTTATATTGCATATCATGTAATTTTACCAGCCGAAAAGTGCTCATTATATTGAGAGCTTAACAAACTTTCCATTCGCCAACCAATGCTATGCACGATTACTTTATAAAAAGCGCCGAAGTGTAGCAAGCCATCGTCCAATGTTGTCCAGTCTGCTACCTTTGTCCAACCAATTCCGAATTGGACATTGGTCAAAATCAGAACCCCAAATGTCCAGGTTTCGATTGGCACCACTTTAACAGATCTAGTAAGGTTGGGAGAGTTTTTATCGAACAAAAATGATAGACGTTCTGTTAATTGAAGAGGGGCGAATTCTGTCAACTGACCGGTGTGCAGCGTGCAGATATTAATACTCTGCAACTGTTATTTTTGCTGTTGTGTTGATTTTTCAAGTGAAGGTATGTTTAGAATTGTTCTGCCTATTTGTTTATGGGTCAAACAACATCGGTGCTGGCGAGACTATCGTTTTTATGACAGGTAAAGGCAGTATGTTCAAATTACCCCACGGTGGGGCAATTTGAACACACCGTGACTTGGTGGAGAAGTGAGGCTATGCTATTCAAGGTATGCTCGGCTCGTCCAAAAATGAGGCTTGCATGGTGAAAGCAAGTGACACTTGCGCTACTGAAGCAGTTTTTCTTCATCCAGGGTTGAACTGGAATTTGGTACAACGGAGAAGACGCAAAAATATGTTCAAATTACCCCACACTACCCTACTTGCTCTAAATGTGTGCTCGAGTGAGCTGGTTCGCTTTCTCGAACGGATCCGCTTGTGGTATCAATCACCTTTTTAAAACGGGACCTTCTGCTTTTGCTCTACGTCATCGGTCGCACTACGACTATCTGCTATATATCGTACAGTTGTAGACCTCAGGCATTTCATGTCATGGGTGTTACCAGTGATATTATAGAAGGCTTAGAATCACTGATAGACGCGTCAACCTGATAGCAACACAGCGTGTTGGTCCGCGCGCTACGCCCCATCGCCACGGCTAACGGACGCACCCCTCAGGCACCAGCTGATCGCCATGGCAACTGACGTACCCCTCAGGCTCCAGATCGGCGCGGCTAACTGACATATCCCTCAGGCACCAGATCGGCGCGGCTAACTGACATATCCCTCAGGCACCAGATTCGGGCGCGTTTGACTAACATACCCCTCAGGCACCAGATCGGCGCAGCTGACTGACTTACCCCTCAGGCACCAGATCGGCGCGGCCGTGAAGAACCTGCTGTCGCGGAACCTGCTGGACGTCAGCGAGGACAGCATCAGCGAGGAGCTGGACGCCATCCGCGAGGAGCGCCGCCAGAGGAAGCTGGACAAACTGAACGCCACGGCGGCCACGGGCGACTCGGGCCTGGGCACCGGCACCACGGCGGCGCCCAGCGCGCGCAGGGACTCGGATGATGATGAGGAAGAGGTGGGTGGACGCTGCTCCAGTAACTCGGCAGACGGGGTCGGGGAGGAATGGTGCGCTCTGGGCTTTCTTAGCCTCTCTGGGAGGCTAAGAAAGCCCACTCACATCACAAGAGCTCCCACACAACATCCAAAGTTTGACATGAGAATACGCATTCGGGCAGTGTACACAATACAACAGTCCTAGTCTAACTATTGCAGTCTCAAAGGTTCTACCTGATGTTTTCCCTGATGTGTGTCAACGTTATCAGACGTTTTGAGTTGTTTCCCGTTATTCACATCATTTTGTGGATTTGCGAGTGTAATGACTAGACCGAAGTCCTTCAGTTCTCGGAAAACTTTCAGTTGAGAGCGCTCAGTTCTCTATTATCCGTATGACAAATGATCAATCTGATAAGTCTGGGATCATTCCGGGTATGTGTTACTGTGATGTACGGATATTCTCGTATCCATCTGCACTGCAGTCATTAGCTGCTACAAAGCGTGTTCTTGGCATGGTCGCTATTTTCATGCCACATCTTTTCTACATTTAATGAGCCACAATAACTAACAGCATTCATAGTCATCACCGTGTGAGAGTCCGAATCCTGACCGGGCTGTATGGCAGTCCGAGTCCTGGACCGTCGCCAAGACACCCCCGTCACTGACCGGCGCGCGTGTCGGCAGATGCTGGAGGTGTTGGAGACGGACCCGGCGCCGCGGCGACCGGCCGCCCAGGAGGTCACCATCCTGAGCTCCGACTCTGACGGCGACACAGAGATGGACTTGCAGACAGGTGAGGACACTGACGGCCGTGGAGGCTAGCCCAGTCGGAGTCGCTAGCTATTATGGAAGTCGAGTGTTCTTGCCGTGATAGGTTATATCTAACCAGCGTCATTATCTGTCGAGCTTATTCGTATGAATTTAGAGTTTAAACATCTATTTGTTTGGCGTTTCCTCGCTCCTAGTCTTCGTAAAACATAACTAATTGAATCGTGTTTCGTTTGTATAATTATGCTGGATAATTAAAGCCATTTTCACGTTCATTCTCACACCAAGACTTTGAGATGAAAGTACGTACTGAGTTTCTAGCATTTCACGGTAGAATATGTTTGGTTAAGCAGTGAAATTTGTAGCACGCAGACCGGTCGTGATATCGGTTCCATGTCCTCAGCTCCGGCGCCGCCCGGCCGCCGCGGCAGGGGAGCGGCGGCCACCACCGGCCGGGGCGGACGGGGCCGGGCCGGCCGCGGCGCCGGCGACGCCCGAACGCCGGCCGCCCCTCGCGGCAGAGGCGGGCGGGGTCGCGGCAGGGCTGCTGCGAACAAGGTGAGTGGGACACCGGGGCGGGATGTGTGTCATCTTCCCAGGATGCAATGTTGGCACGCTAATACCTTCTTCCGGAACTGACTAATTCGCGAATTAATTTGCTGAACTCCTTTGTGAAGAGCTAATTTGCACGTGAAATCTTGTGATATGATCAGCTCGATATTTACTAGGAACATTTTTATTTGGTGACGAGCATTTGAGCCAGACGACATTGATCCGTGCTTCTTGCCCCGGTCTGTCTTGCTATTACGAGACTGTCCTCGTCAAATTGTTACCGTCCGCCTCGAAATTTAATTTCCATTCGATTCTCGTTAGTCGTTAGGCCCCGCGACAGCATCCCACTCAGCCTCATTAACTGTCCCTCTGGCCGGCAGGGTATGGTGCCCCTGGAGACCATGTTCGCGGCCGCCTCCCGGTCATCCCGCGCCGGCAGCGCCTCCCAGTCTCAGTCGCAGTCCCAGTCACAGTCGGCCAGCAGTCGCAGACCGTCCCGGGCCGCCTCCAAGGGAATCGTGTTCGACAGCGACAGCGACTGAGGCGGCCGACACTCCGCAGTGTGCCGGGTACTCATTACCGGACCGACACTCCGCAGTGTGACTGAACCGGGTACTCATTGTCGGGCCGACACTCCACAATGTGTGACTGAACCGGGTACTCATTGCCGGGCCGACACTCATTTGGTCTCACATGGCACGACACAGTCACACACTGCTTGGGCAGGCAGTGTGTGACTGAACCGGGTACTCATAATGCGGGGCCGACATTCCCGGCTCCATTCCATGCCATCTTTGTGATAATGGGTCGTGGCTGTGATCCACCAGGCGTTCGGTCCGGTGCTCATCGCTGGTGTGCGTCAATTAAACTGTGTGCGGGTATCTTTGTGACCTGCAGTTGAATGTCGCGTTGTCGTTTTTTTATATATAACCTGGAAAATTGTTCTCGCTCGTCATGGACGAAATACAAGCATCACGCTTGCCAATTTTTGAGACTGCACAAAGAATCACCAGTGGGCAAAATGACCAGGTGATTTGTCCCTTTTTGTATCCGTATTTGTGAGACGAAGACAGACCGCAGGCAGTACGGGGACAGGTTTATTTGCAGCGTTTTACCCTCACATGATTGCGCCGATTTCTCCGCCGCCCACCCGGGGTTGACACACTACCGTTGTGTATTTGGAGGACACCCGTCTGGCGCCCTCCCAGTCCTGGTTCCACACCACTCTGCGCTATATACATGACACCGCACCAGCGGCGCCGTCTAGATGATGATCTTGGTGTCGCCGAGCTCCTCGTCCGAGGGGAGCTCGATGAGCGCCGGGTCGATCAGGTTGGGGTCGAGCAGTGGCCGGCCCTCAGACTCGCGCAGGTGCAGCTGCAGGTACGCCTCCCGGTGCGCCCAGTCCAAACCCCTGTCACACGAGCGCAGGAAGGTTCGTCAGCTGGGGGTTAGGTTACACAGGGTACTTCAGTTTAAACCACTGGTAACGACATCGGCGTTGAATAGTGAGCGACACTACCACACAAAAGAGGGTTGCTTGGATGCCATGCCCAATTTTGTGCTATATGTGGCAAAGTCGGTGGGAACTGAGTGAAGAGTATAATCATACCCAATGGTTGGTGGCTGATCATCATTGAAACCCTCTGAAATGCAGGTGTGCGATGGAATAGGTAGTGAGAAGAATGGCTTATATGGGGGCGTCATTTTGTCACCTGGCGTCTGGTAGGTATGCCCAAATCAGGCTGCCCAGGACGATTCCACAGCTGACGGTGCAGAAGAACACATAGTGCATCAGCCTCCTGTCTTCTGCTTCACTCTCAATGCTCCATCCAAAGCTCTGCCATTGCTGCACAGAAAGATCAACCATTGACATCAGCAACACACAACAAACAGCAAGTATAGCTGATGGCATACCACTAATCCACGTGAAATAATGAAAATGCAATATTTTGGCACCAGCAGTTTGAAAATTATATCACAGTGTCAATGCGAATGGTCATTCAATTACTATGAAATTGTCAAAATAACTCTGCACAGTTGGCAAACACAGCCTTGCACTTATATCTGGGGGGGGGGGGGGGGGCAGTAATCGTACACAGTAAATACTGGAGCTTAGCTACCTAGTACCTACCTAACCTTACAAGATAGATCAAGAGCTAATTTATCTCAGACCAGCCTTTCCTGTATCACAACACCTGTGCAGAGCTCTACTTACATCAGTTTTGACCTCTCCCCTGAGCTTTTGCTTAGCCTCAGGGCTCAAGGTTACTCTGTGAGGCTCCTGAATCGGTCCTGTTGTCACATTTGCATCAATGATGTCCTTCTTGTCAGTAGAAGTAGAAACACATCTGATGCTTGTGGCCAATGCTTGTTTGCCACCTAACCTAGACAATAGGTTGCTGGAAACCCTCCACAGAGAAGCCATGATGATCTGAAACAAAAAGATAAAATATGAAACATTAACCTGAGCCCCACTGGGGTCTGCGTATAACACGCCCTACGGGGAGGGGGCTCTTCATAGCCCCCCCCCCCCCCTCCTACCTCCGAAACTACTGGGCCGATCGTCAAAATTCAAACGAAGTCTGATAGCCCCCGAAAAACTGTCGAACGAAACCTAATTTAATTGACCTCGAGGTCACCGATGACGTCACAGGTCAGGTCAAAGTAAAAATTATTAGCATTTTGGCTTGTTCACATTTTGGGCTCTGGCCGCCGTCTTACAAGTCAGATCAGGCTCATTGTTGGTTTACACACTCGTGAACAGATGCTCTAGATACCCTGAGGGTACCAAACTTGTACTTTGATTTTCAGGTCAGGGTCAGCCGTCAGGTCATCACAGGTCATGGAAATATTATATCATGCGTCGGTCATGTGACACATATTTTATGGTCCATTTAGGCCATATATTTCGAATTTGATGTCGTCTGTGTCATTCGAGGTCATTTTGAGTCGAATTTAGCTTAGGTCAGGTCACTTTCAGGTCAAAAAAGGTCAAATTTTGAAGTTGAAAATGTTTAACAAAAAAGGTGTCTATTGGATGCAGTTTGAGCTCAGGATCATGATGGTGCTATTTATATTGGTGTACGATGTCAAATACGTACTGAAAAATTTATTTGAAAAATTAATAATTGTGAATTTTTCTAATAACACTATGCAACAGTCATTTTGTTCCTGAGTAACGACCGATTTTTTTTTAAACTCATTGGGTGTCATTATAACCGAAATGGGCATTTGTTTTGATCTGAAAATGCTTTTCCGGTTTTCAGAGACGATTTTCGATTTTTGGCCCCGAAATTCGGTTTTTGGCCCACCGTGTCCGGTGTAATTGAGTAATCGACTCGTGGTAACTTTCATCGCCTTTCCTATGCCACAAGCTTTCGAATGATATCCGGTTTTGCATATTTGCGTGTAAAATAACGTCATAAATCTATGTTAAAGTAAGAAAATGTTGAAATTTTGTAAAAAAAAAAAATTGACATTTTTTTTCAATTTCATTTCAAAATAGAGGAAAAACTTAGGACCCTATCCAAATTCTGAGCCCAGTTCCTTGAAGAGCATTCAATTTCCGTTCGGAAGGTACTATTTTAGTGCATTTTATCGGTTTACTGTGACGTCCAGATTGAGTCACTGGAAAAACCGGCCCCCAGCCATTTCCATGACCATATGTGTTCAGTGTATGAAGAACCATTCTAACAAATGGAGGTACAGATCAAGATTCTGAGCGACAGGACTGCTCAAAAGTAAGTTTCTGCATGTGACCTGAGGTCACAAGGGGTCAACAACATGACCTCAGTTGACCCCTCGTTGACCCTATGGCGTTAACATGCGTTATCAGGTTAATGCTATGTGATATGACCTAGGATATGTGTTTAGGTTAACTCAATCTGGACACCACAGGAATAAAAACCTCTATGGGCCCCCTCACGCCTGGGGTAGGCTTGAGTCTCAAGATGGGCCCATTAGACGTGTACTGGGCCATCAATATACAATAATATACATGTGGTGAGTTGACCTATATCAGGCATGACATCGGCTCAATCAGGATTGAGATATGCCCTCTCAGACCCAGACCAGGCACGGAGTACGGACCCTCCCGCACATAGGATGATCCTTTCATTCCTGGGATGAGCCTTCTCAAGTCTGAACTGGGCCCTCTCAGACCTGAAATGGGCCCCTCTCAGGCCTGAAGTGGACCCTCTCAGGCCTCAAATAGGTCCTCTAGGGCCTGAAATGGATGGGCCCTCTCAGGCCTGACATTGGCCATCTTAGACCAGAAATGGGCCCTCTCAGCTTGTAAATGGTCCCTACCATGATGAAAAAGGGCCCCCTCGGGCCTTATACCATAATTGGGCCCTCTCAGGTCTGAAATGGTGCCTCTTATGCCTGAAATGGGCCCCTCTCTGGCCTCAAACAGGCCCTCTCTGGCCTCAAATGGGCCCTCTAGGGCATGAAATGGGCTGTCTCAAGCTTGAAATGGGCCCCCTCAGACCTGAAATGGGCCCCCTTAGGCCTGAAATGGGCCCCTCTCAGGCCTGAAATGGGCCCTCTCAGACCTCAAACATGCCCTCTAGGGCCTGAAATGGACCCCTTCAGGCCTGAAATGGGCCCCTCTCATGCCTGAAATGGCCCCTCTCAGGCCTCAAGCAGGCCCTGTAGGGCCTGGGCCTGAAATGGGCCCTCTCAAGCTTCAAATGGCCCCTTCATGCCTGAAAAGGACCCTCACAGACCTAAAATGGGCGACATTAGAGCAGACGTCACACGAAAGTTTTCCAACCAAGAGAGGCGCTGTAGGTTTGTAGGTTGTAGGGTAGATTTGTAGGTTTGTAGGTTGTAGGTTGTAGGTAGGTTGTAGGTTAGGTCAGGTTAGGTTAGGTTTGTTTAGGTTTTCATAGAAAGGAGCACCACCAGGTATGGCGCCTCTCTTTGGTTGGAAAACCTTCGTGTGACGTCTGCTCTAGTAATGCCAAATGGGCCCTCTCAGTCCTGAAATGGCCCTCTCATGCCATAAATGGGCCCTTTTAAGTAGGCCTTGGATTAGCTCAATCAGGCCTTGGATGTACCCTCTTGAGTCATATAATGGGACTATAAATCCTTAAGGGGGCTATCAGGCCTAAAAACTTGTAAGAGCTCGCTTACTCTTCCGTAGCGACGTGTAAATAAAAACACTCGTTATCTTGGTATTTTCCGTCGTATTCACACGATCTCCGGCCGGCCACACAACAAAAACCCAATATCCTCAGCAACGCCACGGGGCAACAACCAGAACGCCGACCTTCTCGATCATTCCTCGCCAGCGTGTACACAAATCAAGGTTAGCTCTTTGACTCGGCTCAAATCACACGTCTTTTACTCGGTACCCGTCACGGCCCACGAGCGCTTTCTTCTTCTAATAGGCGGGCCCCTTACACTCCCCCTGTCTCAAGGACCTGATAACATCAGTCATCACGCTACATACACTATGCACGGCTCAAACACAGATCAAACCCTTCACAGCAGCAGCTTCAAAGTACGCGCACAAACACACTATGCCGACTCGAACTCCCCGAATCGCAATACCAAATGAACTGAAAACGATAAACTTCACAGACTCAAACATTAAATCGGTTTTCAGCACAACGACTTGCACTTCACTAGGGCTCTAGCACTGCCGCACTACTCGCGATATCTAGCGGGCAGTCGTAACGGACGACCACGACGCGTATACCCGTACGCCTCTGGGTCAGCATGAGCACCGGCTGCGTCCCGCAGCCCGGTCTCCGTCGTCCCTCGACTTTCACGAGCAGAACCGTCCTCCTGCTCACGGCCATCCACCACAGCACTCTCAGGATCGTCCGTGCTCGAGTCCTGCCGGCGGTCCTCCTCCGCCACGCTCTCTGGCACACCAGCTTCCTCCCGTAGACGGTCCTCCGTCGCTGCGCTTTCAGGAACAGCAGCGCCCTCTTGTCCACGGCCCTCAGTCACTGCACTTTCAGGAACAGCAGCGCCCTCTTGTCCCCGGCTCTGAGTCGCTGCAGCCTCAGGTTCGTCCGTGCTGGGGTCCTGCCGACGGCCCTCCGCCGCCGACTGACGTCCGATATCCACTGGATCAGCATTCCGTCGGCGGTCCTCCGCCGCCTGGCGCCCGGAACCTGGTACCTGGTGGCGGTCCTCCACCGCACACCGTGGTCTGCTACCGTGTTCCGTCCCCCGGCTCGAGTACCCGAACGTATCGGTACCACATGTTGCGTCCCTGTCTGTAGGCGTTCTCCCAACGGCAGCTGCAGACTCCCGACCAGTCTGCAGCACCTCCTCTGACTCGTCCTCTGAACAGAGCGACAGCGCTTCTCCCGTGAATGCTGCCTCCGCAGGGCTGTTTTCTCCAGCCATGCCACAGTCGAACGCCAGAGAAGCGAAGCGCCCTCTCACTGGCTTCAAGTGACAGCCGTGAACCAAACGCCTTCGTCTCCCCTTCCGAATGAGGTAGTCTGGGGGTCTCGCATCGACCACCCGATACGGTCCTTCAAACCGCGGTTGCAACTTCCCTTTCTTGCCCTTAGCCGCCGTGAAATTCCTGCAGTAGACCTGGTTTCCCACTTGGAAATTCATCTCACTCGTCTCGGTTCTCTTCGATCGGTCCTCCTCGATCTTCAGCAGCGTCCCTTCTCGGAGTTGTTTCAGCCTCTCTTTCAGTCGACTCAGGTGCTCCCGATGTGACAGGCTCTTGACTTCTTCCTCGAATTCGACACAAACCGGTGTCCGAGCCTCCCTGCCGAACACCAGTTCCCATGGAGACAATCCAGTCACAGCATGGACACCCGAGTTGTACGCGAAAGTAACCAACGGTAGCCATCGAACCCAGTCCGAGCCATTCGCTTGGCAGAAATGTCTCAGACTCTCCACCAGAGAACGGTTGAATCTCTCGACTTGTCCGTTGCAAGCAGGGTGGTAGATCGAGGTCCTCAGCTTGCGTACTCCGAGTAGCTTACACAGCGCGCTGACCAGGCTACTCTCAAAGTTGCGACCTTGATCAGTCAGTATGGAGCTCATCACACCGAAACGGCAGATCACTCGGAGAAGGCATTCCGCTACCGCTTCTGCTGTCTGGTTTTTCAATGCAAACGTTTCCGCCCATTTGGAAAAATAATCCGTAACGACCAGCACATACTTGTAGCCTTCGTTCGTTGCTGGTAGTTCGAGGATATCAGCTGCCCACTGCGTCAGAGGTTCTCCCACCACGGGCACCGTCCCTCGTCCATCTTTGGTCTTGCATGTCTTCGCCTTCACCGCCAGACAGGAAGGACATGCCTGTACTTTGTCGTGGACGTCTTGCCTGATACGATACCAGTAGTGGCGTTTGCTCACTCTTCCCAATGTTCTCTTGACACCTCCGTGTGCTGCCAAAGGCGTGTCGTGGGCTAAGTACAAAACCCTGGCGCGCAACTTCTCAGGCACCAACATCTGTGGATCCATAGACTCCGATGTCTTCCGCCAGATCACTCCCTGCTTCAGCATGAGGCCATCCATTCTCTGATAGAACTCCAGTTCCTTTCGCTGGTCGGAAGTCAGCGCCTCCGGATCGATTGACTTGCCTTGCAATGCACTTTTCAGCAGACTCAGCACTGGATCTCTTCCAACTTCCTCAGCTAGAGAGAGTTCTTCATCATCCAGGATCCTGGTCTCTCTGATCACAGCTCGGCTTGCTTGAGCACCAGCAGGTTCCTCCGTTCGTTTTCCCTCGATTTCTTTCTCTTCTCGTTCTTGTTGACTCTTCGGCTTGAACTCAGGGGCCGTTGGTCGTAGTTGTGAAGCCGGTCGCTCGGTCCGAGCTCCTTCGGACGGACGCCGCGAGAGCGCGTCGACGTGTGGAATCACTCGTCCTGGAACATGTTCCACGGCGAAGTCGTAGTCCTGGAGAAGTTCCAGCCAGCGAAACAGCCGTCCCGACGGTACTCTCGAGCGCTGAAGGTATTTGATTGCCTCGTGATCCGTTCTCAGAGTGAAGTGCTTTCCCAGTAGGTAATGTCTGAACTTCGTGACGGCCTTCACTACTGCAGTTAACTCCCTTTCCGTGACACTTCGGTTTGACTCGGCTGAGTTCCATTTGCCTGAAGCAAATGCTATCACTCCCGCAGGTTGGCGTAACTCAGCTCCCCAGCCGGTCAGGCTAGCATCAGTCGTGAGTGTGAACTCCTCTTCAATCCGAGGACACTGGAGCACCGGGTACGACTGCAGATCCTCCTTCAGCTGCTTGAAGTTCCTGTCGCACTCCTCACTCCAGTTGAAGTCCTTGTCCTTCTGCAAAAGGTCAGTGAGAGGTGCTGCCTTCTGAAAGAACCCTGGAACAAAGCGATGATAGTAGCCAGCGAAGCCCAGAAACGTTCGCAACTCCTTACTGGTCCTCGGAGTGGGCCAGCTGTCGAGTGCTTCCAGCTTGGCAGCGGATGGTCGGATTCCCTCACAGCTCACACGATGTCCCAAGAAGTCGACCTCAGTCTTTGCGATCAGGCACTTTTGGGGATTCAACTTCAGCCCGTGGCTTCGGTACTTGTCCAGTGTCTCCTTCAGGTACTTCAGATGACTGGTCAGGTCATCAGTGAACAGGATCACATCATCCAGGTAAACAACTGCTTGCTTCTGCAGCTGCTCACCCAACACATCCTCCATGATTCTCTGAAAGGAGGCAGGACTGGTTTTAAGACCGAATGGTTGTCTCGTCCATTGGTACAGGCCATACTCTGTGATGAATGCTGTCTTCTCTTGGGAGCTCTGGTCCAGTGGGATCGCCCAGTACGCAGAGGTCTGGTCCAGAATGGAGAAGTACCTGGACCCAGAAGTGGCTTCCAAGAGATCTTCAATACGGGGTAAAGGGTACGCATCATGCTTTACCACCGTGTTCACCGCCCGAAAATCACAGCAGAAGCGCAGGTCTCCATTTTTCTTCTTTACGAGCACGACGGGGCTCGCCCAAGGCGAATGGGACTCCACGACCACACCCTGCTGTAGCATTCTTTCCAACTTGTCCTTCATCTTGTCTCGCACATGGAACGGAGTGCGATACGCACGCTGACAGATGGGCTTCGCATCTCCCGTGTCAATGCTCATGACCTTGTCACCGACGTACCGTCCGATGTCTTCATTCGACTGTGAGAAAACATCCCTGTACTCCACTAGCATCTGCTGGAGCTGCGACTGGTAGGGCTCCGGCACATGCCCGACCTCTGGCAACCGATAGGTACCCGCTGCGCTGCTAACTTCCTCTTCCAGGGTAACACTTGGAACACCAGCTGAACTCCCAGATTCCAGCTGGCCTCTGCGAGCTTGGAGCGTCTCTTGCTCAGACGACCTGGGCTCTTGGACAGACTCAGCAGCTTGATTTCCTGCAACTTCGGGCATCACCAGCTCTGCTGTCTTCAGCTCCTCTCTGTGTCCGAGTATAGTCCCTGCCGGAATGAGAATCTCTTCATCTGTCCGGTTCACCAAGCGCACTGGCACACCTTGACAGGGCAGGAACAGTGATGAAGCTATCTCAAGGTCATTCAGTTGGACAGGTTCGAACAGCTGGGGCTCAGCCATTGCTACCCTCCGAATGCTGAAAAAGCTTTCCGACAGTGGTGGGCAGGACAACTGGTGCCTGGTGATGACATCCTCAGGACGACACAAGTCCAGTCTCTCTCCATCCACACTTAGTTCGCCAGACCCACAGTGAATCACAATGTCCAGCTTCCTCAGTATGTCCATGCCCAGAAGCAACGGGTCAGCCAGGTTCCTAGCAACATGAAACGTGTGCTCGACACTAGCTTTCCCAACAACAATCGGAGCATCCACCAGACCACATACTTGTACAGTAGTCCCATTGGCAGCAACACACTGGATATCATCCTTTTGGTGCATGTCAAGGCCTAGCTCCTGAACCTCTTCTTCACTCAGAAGACTCACAGCGCTACCCGTATCCAGAACACCCACACTGGACATTCCTCCAATTGTGACTCTGACTTTAACCTCAGACTCCCTGTTGGTGCTCAGCTTCCTTACCTCTCTGCGACTGGGGCACTCCCTTTGGAAGTGGCCTACCCCTCCACAGGTGAAGCAGCGAAGACCACCAACAGCTGGCTGGCGATCACCGGTTCCAGTCATCCTGGTCTGCGGTGCAGAAGCCGGTGCAGTGGCACCAGGACCTGCAGACATCGCTGCTGGAGGAGCTGGTGCACTGGGAACCCTGGGTCCCCGGAAACACTGAGCTCGGAGGTGGCCCTGGCGGCCACAGTTGAAGCAGCGCTTTGTCCTCTGTACCAGCCTCACCTGGCTAGCATCATCATGCTTCTTCGTCATATCATGATGCAACTGCTCCACAGTCTTCATGCGTTCCAGCCGCCTGACCAACCCTTCCACATCGCTTGCATCACAATCCAACAATTTTAGCTGCCACCTTGACGGTACCACTCGGGGTAAGTGTTCCATCAACAGCTCTTCCTGACCTTCTTGATTCAGGTCTGGCATCCCTGCCTTCAGCGACTCACGAAGCCGTTGAACAAACTCACGAGGTTCATCCTTCTCACTCAGCCTGGCTTCATAAAACTGATGCAACCTCACCTTTCGCTTTTCTTTAGGGCACAGCAGCCTCACAGCCAGCTGCTCGGCCTGTTCGACTGAGGTAGGTGCTGCAGACTCCAGTTCCTCTGCCACCCATTCTGCCTCCCCCGTGAACAGCGCCGGTAAGACCGACAGCTGTCTGGCCTCAGACCAGCCGTTAGCCCTTGCCACTCGTTTGAATATACGAAAATATCTCTGAATGTCCTCGGTATTCTTGCAGAACACCGGTGGCCTCCATTCCGCATTCCCACTAGCTCCCGGTTCCATCTTGATTTTCTCTGATAGCGTTGCGCCGCTTTCGCCGCCATTCAGGGACATCACCCGATTTTCAGTCCTTCAGGGCGTCGTATCAGTATCCCACCGCTGATGTAAGAGCTCGCTTACTCTTCCGTAGCGACGTGTAAATAAAAACACTCGTTATCTTGGTATTTTCCGTCGTATTCACACGATCTCCGGCCGGCCACACAACAAAAACCCAATATCCTCAGCAACGCCACGGGGCGTTGAACAACCAGAACGCCGACCTTCTCGATCATTCCTCGCCAGCGTGTACACAAATCAAGGTTAGCTCTTTGACTCGGCTCAAATCACACGTCTTTTACTCGGTACCCGTCACGGCCCACGAGCGCTTTCTTCTTCTAATAGGCGGGCCCCTTACAAACTGTTTTTCAGTCCTATGATGGACCTTGACATTATGATAAAAATTGTCAGGCTGCATTACGTTACAGTTCGAATCGACGGTGGGCCCCTATGATAAGAGACGGGATGAGATCTCACCCCCAGCCCCCGTTCACGAGCTCCAGAATCCCTTTACCGTGACGTCACCACGGCGGCAGAATCTCCCTTCACCCATAGGCATGCATGCAAATTTCATCATCTTTCGGGCGAGCTGGAGAAAAAATCAAGGCTTATATGTCATCAAAAGATGTACCAATGTAACAATGAATTGGCCTCATTACGATAAATGGGACTGAAACTAAAAAAGTAGGCCTATATCGAGCCAAAATCAGCAATTCAAATCACCCCTTCATTTGAATGTGAAGGATTTCCTCTGATGACGTCACCACGGCGCCTTTATTTCCCTAGTGAACCAACCTGAGTAGTAAAGGAATCTTGCTCACCCCTTTCACCCCCCCCCCCCCCCAGCTGTGCCACTGAACCTAGCCTAGGGCTCAAATTCAGCTCAAGTCTAGCACCATTACCTTGGTACTTTTCCTGCCTGCCACAATGGCCTAGCGTAAAGGATTAGATGAAGTCATAGAATGCATTGATCTCCATGCCAAACTTATCACTCAACACTGCACAGAAACATGGAATCGGAAACACACGCAAACTACCCAAAAATATGTAAATATACAAACCAGAGACCAATCCAGAGAGACCATCCGCACCGTCAGAGGACGACTCGAAAGGGCTAGGTCGTGAAGTCGCAAAGAAGAAAACGAGTGTGAACAGCTGACCAAAATAGGAAACAAAATAGAGGACCCTCAAAGTTGTTACTTTAGCATAACTTAAGTATGATTGTATAAATTTGTTACGAAAAAAAATAGTTTTCAATGTTCAATGATCAGTATGGAAGTATAAATTTCGATTATCATTTTTTTTAGAAGAAAAATAAGCATAAAATAAGGTTGACGAAAACACAACCGTAGATTGGCGTGATTAGCCGTAGAGTTCTACGAATTTATCGATTAAAGGAAATAGTTCACTTTCACGAAATTATTTTTTTTGCAATGGATTTATGATTTTTTTATGTTCAAAATGATCAGCAAAGAAAATAAAACCTATTTATAACAAAAGATTATTTTCTATATTTTGATATAGGAAGAACTTTTCAGTTTCTGTAAGGCACAGGCGATCCAGTATGAAAAGAGCATGGGTCCCGAAAATTCTTCAGAAACTAGAGAAATTATCGCGGCCACCGGCATTTGGGCGATCTGCTGCTGCTGAATGTCCTTATGAACCCGGTTTACATAGCATATTTGACGAGGCTCTAGCTCGTTAATTTGGCGATAATTTCGATGCAGTGGTCTTCAAATATTTAGAGGGGATCATTTTGTAAATTGTTCAGCACCATTGGCATCTTTTGCAACATCACGGACGGAGATATAAGCTTGCAACAAACCCTATGTAAACGCGTCTATTGATCAGTACGAGAATTTCTCTAGAGTTCTCGTAGATAATTTCTCTAGTTTCTGAAGAATTTTCGGTACCCATGCTCTTTTCATACTGGATGCGAATATATGCAAGGCACACATCGACACCTTTTTCGGGACGAGAAATAGAATATCTTTGCCTAGGGTGATCGTTGGGCTGTAAAAGCTCCTGATTTATGCTCGTCTCAGCCCAGGCTACGGAACTGCTATTCCAGTTCAAAACCCATGTTAAAAAGTGAACTATTTCCTTTAAATAATAACCACGTTCTTTTAAATATTTATTTTTACGGAGTAAAAATGCTTAGACAACCTTAAAGCAAACAATTTTTAAGGGTCTAAACCATAGGTCTAAACTATAGAGTTCAGTGGTCTAAAATATTTTCTTTTGGAATGAGCTGTCATTTTTTTCAGGAATTGTGATGGTGAATTTGGTAAATTCACGCGATTTGGGGTATGGGTGAAACGGTTGGATATACTTGCGCAGCAGTTTCGAAAAAGACGCGCCGCCAACAAATTTTACCCCGCGTTCGATGTCTCCCGGACGGCGAAGATTCTACGCCGTCCGACCAATCACGTTCCATAACCGCAGCCGAGCCCCCACTGACCTTGGACGGGATTGGCCGGACGACGTAGAATCTTCGTCGTCCGAGAGACATCGAACGCGGGGTAAATTTGAGGTGTTTTTATAACACTGTGTTGTTTGTATCATTTGTGTATCAATTGGGTAATGGGTTTGCCGGTTTTCCAGAGTGCAGAATAGGTAGATAGTTCTATTTAACTCACCAGTGATCAGTTTGTTTTAACAAAAACAATTTTTTTTTTTTCATATTGGTGATATTCATGCAATCACAAATCAAAATTATTGGTGCTGTTAAGTCCCCTATGTCAATATTTTTTAACTAATTAAACATACCAAAGTGCTGAGGTGGACGTCTGTCGTCTAGGCTTTGTGGCTAGTACTCGCCCTGAACCATAAACATGCAATATCAATGATCGGCTGTTTCACTTTGCAGCATCAGCATGGCAGAAGATAAAGATTGCTCGGAGGGACCCAAGGTTGATTGTCAAGTGAGTCAGAACATAAACAGTCTCAGCTCACTCTATTCTTGTCAAGCTATTATTGTAAAGATGTAGGTAGGTACCTACATCTTTTAATTTACTTTTTTACTTTTTACATCTTAATTTACTTTTTACCTACCAGGGGTAAAAAGTAAATTAAATGAATAGGTACCTAGGTATAATCTCTCTTGAAAGTGCCTACGCGTTGTGGGCTGTGGTGGCTCAGTGAACGATTCCATTCAGTTTGAGGACCCCAGCAGTAAGGTTATGGCCTGCATCATACAAAGTACGCCGTAACACGATTCTACGCCAGCGATAGGAGGAAAATTGCTGTATGACACAGGCAGCGGCGGCTGACAACTGAGTCGAAACAGGTGGAGGCCTGCCAAAGATCATGCTGGTATTGCTCTTCCTTGACCCCGTCCCCTGCCCCAGACGGATACCGGTGCCGCTTGGGTTCACCAGCCGTGCGCTCATTGGTCTGCCTTAGTGGGCGCTAATCACTCAGTGTGCGTGACTCTTAAAATCACAACAGAGAAAAGTTCCACCATAACCCCACTCTGAAGCGGCCTTCTGAACGACGTAAAGAAGCAGCCTTCTGAATGACATAAACAGGTCATGACTATGAGAGGGGGGCAAGCTTAAAGCTGGCATCAAATAGGGCTTTTAAAAAGAAGACAGATGGACGTTTTTTGTCACCATTCACTAGCCGGCTCAAAAAAGAGAACTTCAAATACCTATAGAGGACGAATTGGCGAATGGGCTAGATATTTTTTGTGATTTGAATCCGCTCGCGGGTGCATCTGCACCCACGGATGCCTTCTGCTAGCGGGTGCAACTGATGATTTTCTCACTTTCGGGCACAATTTTTCGGATTTACAGAAAACTGACAGCCGTGCCAATGACAGGTAAAATTTTTAGCTTCGCAATGAAACAGATCTCAACAAATCCTCTGCGAGTCGGGTGATTTCCGTTGACCACATGCTTGCTGCCGTCACAATTTTCCGGACGACGACTGCCACCTCCCCCTATCCCTTCGCAGTCCGCAACCACTCCCCTCGCCCCGCCGTGCTGGCTGCCTCCTGTTGTTGGTGTTGTTGTTGTTATTGTTGTTGTTTTTGTTGTTGTTTGTTCCCTCCAGGTCGACCTCAGTCGACTGTAGCCTGACGGCTCTGCAGGGTCCTGAACGCGGCCGCGAGGGCCGCGATAACTCCGTCGCTTCGCACCTCCTCCCTGCTGGGTTTGATTGTCCCGGCGAGTCGCAGCCTAGCTCCCATTACGCCGGGCCGGGCACTCAGCTTCGCTCCTATGAGGCTGCGGTACCATCCGCGCGGCTAGTCGCTGACCCACTGGGCCCGCGCCGTCCTTGCCGCCGCGCGGTACACCGTCATGGCGTTGATGGGAACATCCTCTTGGTCTACTGCTGAGGCTTGCTTGGCCAGCTCGTCCGCCCTCTCGTTCCCGGGCAGGCCGCAGCGGGAGGGTACCCACTGCAGGTGGGTACTCCTACCGCGGGCCGACAGCTGTTGAAGCGCCGCCCCGATTTCTTGTCCTATGGTCGTTTGTGTAAAAGGGCCACCCCGGAGCGCCGCCAGTGCTGACTGGGAGTCCGTGCATATCACGATCGGCTCAGGAGGGAGGGTTGGCCGGTCCAGCAGGAGCTTCAGCGCTTCTCTGAGGACTACCATTTCAGCACGGTAGCTGGAGCAGACGTTCCCCGCCGGCACCGTGAGTAGGTGCTGCTAGATGTCCGGGTCCTCGATGAAGACGCAAGCGCCGCCGTTTTTGATGCCTCCCTCTACCGAGCCATCGGACCATACCCAGGTCGCAGTCGCACACTGTGGCAGGCTACCTAGGTGACAGGTCGCCGCGTCACGCTTCTGTGTGGAGGTTGCATTCAGTGGGAGTGGTCCCACATCCAGGCTGATGGTGACCCTGTTCTTCACCTCCCACGGGGGACGCTCGCCTGCGACACCGGGTCGATAGGGGGACCCAGGGGGTGTCGAAGTCTAGTAGGAAAATCTGGCAAATTCCCTGCGTGACGTCACGTCGGGGATGACCGACGGCACCTTGCACTGAAAGATACGGCAGAACGGCTATTTTTGAAAAATGATTAAAAATACTTTTGTGCTGTTATGACGCATAAAACGCTTATCAGCATGTTCCTCATCATGTGATAAAGGCATATCCGTGGTCGAAAATAGCTGAGCCCCTCCCAATTTCCAACCACCGACCTCATAAGCAAAGGATGTAAGCGTAATCCTTAAGGGCGACTTTCCTATACATATCCGTACATATGCGTCCTTATGGAAATCGGTAGTGTGGCGATTGGCGACGCGCGCGACATCTGTGTGGCGACCAAGTGGCGACTGTGGCGACACCTGGTGGCTGCTTTTCTGCTGTATGTAGGCATTGGGGTTTTGCCAGATGTGGTTCCTACTGCTACACCACTATGTTGACCCAATACTAGAAAAGTTATTTTGCTAGTAAAAGGCAAGCAAATTGAAAGTTGATTTATAAAATTGCTTATAAATGATTACGAGATAATAATAAAGAAATTTTGATTGAATAATTATTTAAATAATCAACCGTGAAACTATATTCTGGTAGGTTTAGTAGAAATAAGTCCGTGCAACCTTGTATTTAGGGCCTTGGGGGGACCGACACCGGCCGCCTCCCACAGCTCCTGTGCCAAGGTTCTCCAGCCGGTCACGGATTGTAGCCGGGCCGGGGCGTTCGCCGCGGCCACTCGATGGAGCGGCTCCTCCGGGGGGAGCGCGGTCGCCCTGACCAGGAATCGCGCAGCCAGTGTCCTTCTCCTCACCGATACCGGAAGAAGGCCCGCTTCTGCCATGAGCGCGTCCGACGGAGTGCTGCAAGTGCACCCCGTGACGACTCTCGCCGCCGCTCTCCTTTCCCGCTCCAGTAGTTCCACGTGGGAGGGCGGCGTGGCAGGGAGCCAGGCTGCCGCGGCGTGCTCCAGGGCTCCTCGGACATAGCCACTGGCTACTGTCCTGAGCATGTCCTCCTCGAGGCCCCAGGACCGTCCGGACAGCTGAAGTAGCTGCGCGGTGCGTGGGCGGACGTTTCTCCTCAGCTTTTGGCAGTGGGGCCCGAAGTGGAGCAGTCTGTCTATCTGCACGCCGAGTACGTTGATGGAGTCCGTGGCCGACACTGTCTTCCCCGCCATCTTGATCTGGCAGTCGACTGCGTCGCGGTGCCACTGCGACAACTCCAGCATCTGGGTCTTCGCTGCAACGATCATCTTCAACTTCGTTGCCCAGGCGAGAAGGGCGTCTGCTGCCCTCTGGGCCATGTCCTTGGCTATCTGGATGGAGTTCCCGGCGCACAGTGCTGCGGTGTCGCCCGCGGTGAGATACCGGGGATGTCACGGAGGTCTTGCACGAGTGTCGCCGCCCATAACAAAAACGGACGGCGAGAGCACACTACCCTGGGCAGGCCC